GAAATCATGCAGTATTTGTCTTTCTATGTGTGACTTATTTTACTTAGAATAATGCCCTCATTTCTAACCATGTTGTTGCAAATGGCAATATTTCATTCTTCTGTATGGCATTCTGAATAATAATACCCATTGTGTGTGTGCACGCAAATGCCACATTTTCTTTATCCATTCATCTCTCAGTGGGCACTTAGGTTGCGTACATGTCTTGGCTATTGTAAATAATACTGCAGTGAACACAGACTACATCTATCTTTTTGAGGTAGTATGTACGTTTTCTTGGGTACATACCCAGAAGTAAGATTGCTAGAGCATGTGGTATTTCTTTTTTAAAATTTTTTGAGGAACCTCCATTCAGTTTTCATAATGGCTGCATGAAAGAGGTAAAATACCTCTACTCCAAAAACTGTAAGTTGCAGAAGAAAGGAATTGGAGATGATACAAATAAATGGTAGGATTTACTATGATCATCGATTGGAAGAATTAACATTGTTTTGGTTAGTGTGGACATTGTTAACAATCTATAGATTCAATGTAATCCCCATCAAAATACCAGTGGCTTCCCCCCCTACAGAAATAGAACAAATAATCTAAAAAGTTATATTGAAACACAAAAGACCCTGAATAGCCAAAGCAATCTTGAGAAAGGTAGTTGATACTACAAGGCCATAGTAATCAAAACAATAGTACTGGCGTAAAAACAGACACATAGACTGATGGAACTGAATAGAGAGCCCAGAAATAAACTCACTTCCGTGTCATCAATAAATCTGTGATAAAGGAGACAAGAATATACAGTGGGGTAAAGACAGTTTCTTCAATACATGGTGGTGGGAAAACTGGAAGGTACATGCAAAAAAAAAAGGAATGACACCACTTTCTTATACCACAAAGAATAAATTCAAAATGCACTGAAGACTTAAGTGTAAGACGTGAAAGCCTAAAACTCCTGGAAGAAAATATATGCAATAAATTCTTTGAATTCCTCTATGCAATATTTTTTTGGATTTGTTTCCTTGTGCAAGGGAAACAAAAAAATAAGCAAATGGACTACATCAAACTAAAGAGTTCTTACACAATGAAAGAAGCCATCAACAAAATGAAAAGACAACCTACTGAATGGAAGAATATATTTGCCAATGATAGATCCTATAAGGGGTTAATATCCAAAATATATAAGGAACTCATACAACTTAACACCAAAAACAAACAAACGAACAATCTGATTAAAAATCTGAATAGGCACTTCTCCAAAGAGGACATACAGATGGCCAATAGACATATGAAAAGATGTTCAGTATTACTAATTATCAAATAAGTGCAAATTAAAACCACAATGAGATATGCCTCACACATTCCAGAATGGCTGTCATCAACAAACAAGTGTTGTCGAGGATGTGGCGAAAAGGGAACCCTTGTGCATTGTTGGTGGGAATGCTGACTGGTGCAGCCACTGTGGAAAAGAGTATGGAGCTACCTCAAAAAATTAAAAATAGAATTACCATATGATTCAGCAGTTCCACTTCTAGGTATTTATCCAAAGAAATCCAAAACACTAATTCAAAAAGATACGTGCAGCTCTATGTTTATTGAGCATTGCCCGCCAGGCGTGGCTCAGCAGTTGAGTGTCGTCCTAGGGTCCAGGAGATCGGGGTTCGATTCCTGGTCAGGGCACATGCCCGGGTTTCGGGCTTGATCCCCACTCGGGGGCGTGCAGGAGGCAACCGATCAATGACTCACTCATCATTGATGTTTCTATCTCTCTCTCCCTGTCCTTTCCTCTAAAATCAATAAAGATATATATTTATTGTGGCATTATTTATAATAGCCAAGATAGGGAGGCAACCTAAGTATCCTTCAATGGATGGATGGATGGATGGATGGATGATGTGTTACATATATACAATGGAATATTAGCCATAAAAAAGAATGAAATCTTGCCATTTGTGACAACTTGGATGGACCTTAGAGGGTATTATATTAAAAGAAATCAAAGACAAATACCATATGATTTCACTTACATGTGGAACCTAAAAAAACCCAACAAAATAAACAATCAAAACAGAAATGCACACAAACAACAAATTGATGGTTGCCAGATCGGGGAGGGGTTGAGGGAATGGGTGAACTGTTAAAGGAAGTGAGATATACAAATTTCCAATTATAAGTATAGTTACTAGGCTATAAAGTACAGTGTAGGGAATGTAGTCAATAATATTGTAATAACCACATATGGTTTCAACTGAGTACTATATTTACCGAGCTAATCACTTTGTAAGTTATATTGACATCTAACCACTATGTTGTACACTTGAAAGTAAGATAATAAGTATGTCACTGTAATTGAAAAATAAAATAAATTTTTTTTTTTTATAGAAAGGACAAAGTTTTCTCATCAGAAATGAGGAGTCAAATTAAGGTTGAAAAGCGTGGGTTTTTAAAGAAACCAATTAGTTCTCTTTAATGACTTTGTCCAGGAACACTTGGTACCCTGATAGAAGGATGGAAGAAAACATGTGGAAGGTGCTCTCTACAGGGTAGGGGATTGGCTGGATAGGTATGGTGAAGGGACAGAAAAGCTAAATAAAGCTAAAGTTTCTCCTTAGGGATACTGTTGATTTGGCTGACCCTGGAGTGAGGCTACGAAATGAGGGGTGAGGCCAGGAGAAAAGCAATAGATACACAGAGTTTTTGAAGTTGGGTGCTGGGAAGGTTAAGGGATTTAAGATTATAAAGAAAGTGAAGAATAAATTATTTTGAAAAGGAGGAGTATGTAAGTAGAAAGTTGGGGAATTTCAGAATTGAATATTATGGAGGTAGAATTCTGAGGGTTGAGGCTAGAAAACATGTTTTCTTTCAAAACACAGATGGGAACATATCTGTGTCTTGAAAACCTCAATTTCAGGGTGAAGTCTTTACTACTTAAAGAACAGACAAGGCTCATCATAAGCTGGCCCCATTCTACTTTTCCTGGCGAATATGTCCTCATTTCTCCTTGTGAACCCCGTATTTTCTCCACACTGCACAGAACCCTGAAGGTGTTTATCTACTTTGCCTCTGCACATGCTGTTCCCCTTGCATGAAATGCTCTTCCTCCTCCTCTTGGCCTTGTAAGCTCCTGCCCATCTTCAAGCTTAACTCAGGCGGCACTTCCTCTGTCAAGTCTTTCCAGGCTCCTGCAAAAAAAACACTGAGCATGTCTTCATCTTTGTTCCCACAGTATTCTCTTTAGACTGTGGAATTTCACAAGTATATTGCTATAGTGCAAACACATAACAGTAGGTGTTTAATATCTGGTTTTGTCGTCTTTGCTGTTGAATTTTAAATGAATGAGCTAATCCAGTGCTTTTCACATGTTAATGTACATCCGAATCACCTGGAGCTCTTGTTAAAACTCAGATTCTGATTTAGTCTGAGATTCTCCTTTCTAACAAGCTCCTCAGTGATGCCAGTGATGCTGGTTTATGCAACACATCCAATGAGCCTTTGCCCAAGTAAATAGTGGAAGTGTAGTAAAGATAAAGTTCAGTAGGAACGTGGAAGTGGAGCGCTTAGGGGAACCGAGACTTGAGAAATCCTCACTGTGAACACTGGGTTCCTAAAAATGGTAGCAGAAAATCACGTGGGGAAAGATACTTACCATGGAATAAAGCAGGAGACCAGAGTGGAGGACTGTAGTTGAAAAGCCTGGGATGCTGTAGTTCTATGACTTATGTCTTCGAAAAGGAGGGGTTGTTCAGTGCTGGCAGCTGTTTTGTCGGGACTGCAGCAAAGGATGCTCTCCACGGAGCGGCAGTGTCAGAAGTCAGGTGTGGGGGTTCACAGGAAAGGTTAGGGGCCTCTAGTGTTTATTCCAAGTAGGATGGCATTTCTACCAATGTGGACAGGAGAGTAAGGGAAGGGTGAAAGCTGCTTTCGAGGGGATAGGAAGCCCCTGAAGAAATGGACGTACTAGAATTTGACAAAGGATAATTTGCTGATTTTAAGTTTGCGGGTTCCAAGTACGAAAATTATTTTTCTTTATTTAAACTCATAAATGACAGAGAAAGTTCCACTAATAAGCATTCTATTCTCACATATAACCTTATGGGTCTGATGACGCTAAGGATGAGTGCAGTCAACCTAATTTCTTTTAAGCACTGTTACACAGAAGGTACAGTAAGTACTGTTGCACTATCTAACGTAGGGAAAAGGCAAGAATAAAGAAACGTTTACATCTCCTCCCACTAATCCCCTCCCCCCAAAACGAACTAATCAATATTTACAGCCTGATGTGCACTCTTCTAGCTTTTATTCATGCAAATTTATGTGCACAGACAGGAATTTTTCAAATTCCATTGTTGTGTTTTTGCAGGCACATTACTCTGCAGACTCTTTCTCACTTAGGGATATGTCATAAACATCCCTCCAGGTCAGTGGATAGAGCTCTAACTTGTTTTTTCCCCCCCTGGTTATTTTTAAATAGCTGTGTATAAATATAGATGTCCCTAATTTGTTCTACCATTCTCCCATTGATGGAAAATTGGGTAATTTACAATTTTTGCTACTACAAACAATATGACACACACACAAAAAGTGCTATTGTTACCAGTGCCTCAGTAACAGAACTGTGATTTCAGGCCAGCCATGCACATTATAGTAACTTTTATATCAAGGACATTTCTAAATGAAGCGTAGCAGTGGCTAGGCCTGTGCTATCCAGTGTAGCAGTCACTGGTCACATGTAACTATTGAAATTTGCTAAAATTAAATAAAATTAAGCATTCACTTCCTCAATCAATCAGCCTCAATTTCAGGTGTTCAGCAGCCACATGTGAGTGGTGGCTACCGTATTAGACAGCACAGAACAGACCGTTTCCATCCTCAGAAAATCCCACCAGACAGCCTGGACTAGACACTCTAATGCTGTACCCTAAAGAAGGAAAGATTTGTCAGTGGCTAGTGTTGTAATGAGAGCACATTTTTAAAAGTACAAACTCTGTTTTAATTGGTTGCCTCTGCAGTTACTTCAATGAGAATCAATATCCAGATGAAGCAAAGAGAGAAGAAATTGCAAACGCTTGCAATGCAGTTATACAGAAGCCAGGTAAGACAGCAAGCCCCGGCTCTGCGGTGCGGCTCTCAGCTTCAGGTCATCATTTAGGACATGAAAGCCCCTCTGACTCATCCCAGTCTGTGCCATCCTCCTATGGAGAGTCACAGCCCTATCCTGGTCAAACCAGATTTCTTGGGGACGTGATTGTGCTACTACAATCAAATGTTTATATGGGGACGTTTCCAGGGAGTGTCCCTGACTAAGATGTGAGACCTTGAAATTGTTTTTTAAAGGACTACAGATTTCTCTTTCCAAAAACATAGCATGAATATATCAATTCCAAAATAATTTTAAATATTTAATCAGGATTTGTTAATGAAAAAAATTGAGATAGACCTTTTTCTTTTTTTTAACAATTGTAAATTGTATAATTTATAATTGAAGAAATAATTGTTTTAGGGCTTGGCTTCTGTCTCCTTCCCACATTGGGACGACTTCTGCTCAGCCAAGAGGAACTTAGGGTAATTCCTTTCTGAGGCCCTGTTCTCACACAAGTCAGTGGAGCCGCTTAACACTCAAATCTTTTCTTCCAGGTGCTAAGATAGTCCACATTTCAGTTTTTGTTACCAGAAACCACTCTCAGTTTCGATGATCCAGTTGATCTCCATTAGGCCCGTTATTGTGATTGGCTTAAAGGCTATAAATGAGAGTATAAATGCTTTATAATAATTAAGTAGCAATTTATTCTCCATTAGCTAGAAGCCTGACTGCTTAGCAATCTGGAGCCTACAAACTCAGCTCCAAAATCATCTAAAAGTCCCAGCCCTAAAGCTATGGGAACTCAAAACTCTTCTTGAAAGTTCACCCTAGCTGTCGAGGCCCTAACCCGTTTTCTGGTGTCTCCACCCACATGGATTACAAGCTGAAATGAGAAAGGACAGGGGAGGAGGGAAAGGTGGGTTCTTGTTGGCAAGCATGGTGCTGTCCATAAGAAGTCACATTTGATAGCAAAAAGGTAATAAATCTGAAATGCACCTGATTGTGCTGTGTTCCAGCATAGTTACAGTGATGGTTGGAGCAACCTTTAGTCTCTAAGAAAACACGAATAATATCCGCTGTCTTAAGACAGCAGGAAACTAGTTGATACAAGATTTGAAAGACATAAGAAAACCTGCTAAAGAATAGCGTATTCATCTAGAATGATGCTAATTAAATGAAGCCTCTGTGTGCTATCATGTGAACATGAAACCCTTGCAGACTGACTGTGTGGAATCCTTTAGTATTTAATACTGGAATTCTTTAAGATTGTGTGGCTTTCTGAATTCAAGTATTTTATGTTACTAGTTGCAGTTTGTGAATTTACTCCATAATAATTTGAGTATGAACATTGTACTAGGTAATGCAAAAAAAAAGAAAAAAAATCCCCCTGTATCTATTATTTCAGCAATAAATGCAATCAGAAGAACTTTAGAAAAGTATTATTCCTTAAAACTAGTCTCAAATATAGATTATCTGAATTTTACTGCATGCATTTACAGGCAAAAAACTGTCAGATCTGGAACGAGTTACCTCCCTGAAAGTGTATAATTGGTTTGCTAACAGACGGAAGGAGATCAAGAGGAGAGCCAATATCGGTAATGTATCAGAGAGGCTGCTTTCCCCTCCAGGCAGTTACGGACATTGTGTTTATTTTAAGAGTGACTTCAGTTTAGAACTGCAGGTCTAAATTACCCTAAACTTGAAGCCTAATAAGAATTGCCATTACGTTTTTCTTCACTGTATTTTTAATAGCCCGAAGTTAGTATTACTTAAGCTACTTGTGTTGTTATAATAATGCCATTATTATTTCTAAAACTCATTGTTCTTAATGTTCTAGACTCTAGAATTAGACATGGTCTCTGAGCAATTACTCCTGTGGTACTTGTTAAGGTCTCGAGAGGGAATGTGATACTCTAAGCTTCTTTTATTATTACTGGGCTATGACTTCAACATTAAGAAACATCTGATTATTAGAATTTGAATGAAAGACTTTCAGTAGACAGGGAACATAGCAAAAGGCAGAGATTTCTTTTTAAAAAGGGAGCATTTAAGAAATGAATTGATGAGACTGGGGTGGGGGATTGGTTTTGAGCGTCTAAAATTGTATTTCATTTATAAACTTACTCCCTCTTCATCATTAAAAATCTCAAGACACTTTATAGAACTCCAGCACAGGAGGTCTGTGAAAGCACCTAACAGTCAACCACGCGCACGCAGCGCACACAGCATCAGGGGCCCAGAATGCAGCCGTGCTCCTCCCTGGCTTTTGTGCGCTGAATTCCATCCGTCTGCAGTTTAAAAGAAACAAAACATAGAGAAATCTAGGTTCTCGTTTAATGATGTTCTAATTCCTCAATACAAAGATCAGTTCGTTGTTTAGGCCATTATGATGATATAACAGATAATTTAGGGATCTATTTGCTTTTTTCGAAGAAGCAGCAATCCTGGAGAGTCATGGGATAGATGTACAGAGTCCAGGAGGCCATTCTAACAGCGACGATGTCGACGGCAATGACTACTCCGAGCAGGTGAGTAGCTGAGCAGAGGTTCTCGGTTACAGAGCAGGCGGGACAGTATGACAACTCAATTCTGTGGGTGCGTTTGGTAGGGGGTGGGGGAGAGGAGACAATCTGATGTCCCTCCACACTGTACTGGTGGGTCTAGTTAGATTTTTGTGTAATCTGAAAGGAATGTGGTAAGATTCAGTTGTCCTGTTGACTTTGTGAGAAATCGTTATTCACCCACATGGATTTATTGTCATACAACAGGATACTTGGCAAGTACGCAATGGGGAGGAGGAGGAGGGAAGAAGTTCAGAGGGAGGCAGAGAAGCAGAGAAGGTAGAAGAAGAGAGGAGGATCTGATCCAAACAAGCAAGTTACACCATTCACCACACACACACTCACTGTTTGAGAAATACTAGGGGCTGCTGGGTAGCTGTAACCCAACCTAAACACGCACCACGCAGCGCACAGTGGGAGCCCCCCCACTGCCCCGTCGCAGTGGGAGCCCTGTGCCGAGATGAGTGGTTCTTCCAGAGTCTCCGGCACATTGACACACACATCCTCTCATAAGTGCATGTCCTCTCACCCTACCGACTTATGCTTCATTGCTTGGAGGAAAAATATATTTAATTGTAGTCACTGGATGGAAAAATTCAGTAACTAAGAATGTGGGAAGTTTTCCCCCCCACGTCAGTTGACAGATTTCATTAAAATTTTTAAAGGATTAAAAATTCATTTCCGTTTGGAATATATATGGTCTCTTCTCCTGGACCCCAGAAAGAAAGCTTTCCTATGGCGTATACCCCCTTTCCTTGCTCCAGCAAGCTTTTAAATCTAGTCCACTGTATTTTTCCTTCTGCTCCCGTTTCTTAGCCTGTTTACCAGCTTGAGCACAGATACTGCAAGAGTGCGTGCACTTCATGCCAGATCCTTATCCATGAAAACGAGAATGAAACAGTGGCCCGTGCTTTCCGAGGGTTACCTGTTTCTCTCTAGGGCTCCAAATCTTAGCTCCACTTCTTACTCAAGAGAGTGTTCTATAAGTCTTTCTAATTGGAAACATTCCTGGTGTTTTCAGTCTGCTGGGGTAGATGGATCATTTCTGTCTTTTTTCCAGAAGCCCTGAGGGCAGCACACACCCTTTTTCCCCCTGAAGGGACCCTTTCCAAAGCTCTTTGATGCAGTTTCCCTGAGGGTGTGGCAAGTGAGAAACCTGCCCCTTCTTTGTAACACTGTGGTCAGTGCTTCGGAACACCCTGCAAGGCCAGTTTCCTTCCCAGCTCTACTGTTTAACACCTGGAGCTGTGTGGAAAGGAGAGCTTCACACTCCCGCTAAGTAAGACACCCACCACTTCCCTCACAGCAGCTTGCAGCAGGAGACAGTCATGTCCAGCAGTTATACTTCTGTCCTGTTGTAATTGGGAGTTTGTTTTTTAAACAAAAGTGCATTTTTATCTGTAAGATACTGGTATCTGTCTAGCTTACTGTCTAGTTTTCTTGGTTCAGTAGAGAGATGCCATGAATTCCAGTAATCTGCTTGTAAGAGCACCAGTCCAGAATTTAATAGCTCACTGGCATGGCCTTCAGTGACTAGTGCTCTAGTTTTTGCAAAACTAGAATGAGCCAGGTTTGATTGTTATCACCAGCAATCTTCCCGAAAGAAGGAACACAATGCACAGCAAGAAAAAACATTTTCATGCTTATTTGTTGAATCCTAAACTGTCAACCAGAAGTCTCTGGACCTATTTCCATTCAGTGTCTCCTTAAATACATTTGCCTCCACTCTGTCATGAACCCCTCCCCCACACGTTCTGCCTCCCCTTGCCCCAGCATGTCTCTTTGTAAGCCAGAGAATTTACCAGTCTTCTAACATGTGTTTCTTATTTCCGCACATCTAGGATGACAGCACTAGCCATAGTGACCACCAAGACCCCATCTCATTAGCTGTGGAAATGGCAGCAGTCAACCACACGATCTTGGCATTGGCCCGGCAAGGAGCCAACGAAATCAAGACGGAGGCCCTGGACGACGACTGATCAGGGAGGGTGAACTCGAGAGTTAACTTAGTTTAGACGTAGCACCTTAGCAGACTTTCCTCGGTCCTTAACGTGTTCTTACAGTATAACTTGCAGTTTCTTGTATGTCAGTTAGCCGTTAGGGTCTTCTTGTTCTGTGAAGATGGCATGGTGCCCCCAGCCTTTGCATATACTCTCAGTATTAATTCCCAGTAAGTAATAAGCAACCAACCAACCAGACTTCCCTCTCCCAGCCCCGAGGCTAGAAAATCTTGCTGCTCTGTCTTAGCATTCCAAGAAAGTGCTTCCAGGTATTTAGATTGCCCTCAGTTCTCAAATACTAGGCCACATATAAAACCTTGGGTACCGTAGATTCCTGTCACACTAGTCTGTACCCCTTTCCCTCCTTGAGACTGATAGGATGCAAGCTGAGGCAGTGTGGCCCAGGACTGACAGGCCCCATGTTGGGGGGGGGGGTGTCCCTAGAGCGAGTGGGAGCAACTGATTTCCAGCTGCAACAAGCGGTGCCTCACAACAGTCACACTGTGGCTAGTTACACTCCTGGGTGCTGTGCTAAGACTGTCAGTGGAAAATCCGGATCTCAGATTTTGGTTGATATTAACATTAAGATGCCTGACACAGACATCCATTCCCCTCACAAGCTGTGTGACTTAGTAGATATAATACTGCCTTCTGTCTTTGGGACCATGATTAAAACAAGAAAAGACAAAAGTAGAAGTCATTTAAAAAATACACACCCCAGCTTGAGAGGCATTGGAAAAAACAGGAATTATATGGACGCCAAGTCCAGCTCTCAGAACCACTGTACGTTAGGCATAGCGCAGGCCCACACCTGTCTGGAAAGTGCTGGGGTTGTCACGGCTCTGCTTAACCTCCTGTCTGTGTCCCCTTTCCCTGCCACCAAAAAAGTCTTTCAAGGATGAAGCTAAGGTCAAAATGAGTGAATGAACTTTCCGTCTTTGTGCCCATTAACAAGCCCCCTCAGTATGAGAGGCTGGTAGAGGACTTCAGAGCGGGATTTTGCTGACTGACTGTCACAAATGCTAACACTTTCCTACATAGGAGCAGGAAAAATGGGGGACATTTGTCACTTACGTGGTGGGTCTGCGAGATGTGACAGGTGTGACTGCTTCGGTGTTCTCTCTACTCTGTCCTTGGAGAGGTGTGAAAAGCTGTATTACTACAGGCAATTTATTTAATAATTGGAAGCCATATTAATAATGGATGTGGTAATATTTGTAAAGTTTAATCTACTTTAAGCAGCAGTACCTAATGGAATTTTTTTCCTTGATCACATATGTAGCACTTTTGTTACTTTTAAAAGATATTTATATTTGATAAATCTTTTTTTCATTTTGAAAACTCAAAATACCAAACAGTGAACTTGCGTTATAAAGTCACCCTGTGATCACCTTGTCATCTAGTAGCAAAATGATGAACTATTCATGCATCAAAGAAAATTACATCTGCCGGCCTTGTATGAAAATGATTCTCGGCATCCCGGTTAAATAACACACTGTCACTCGGTAAGGAAACAGCCCTCAAGGTATCAGCAGAGGGTGTGTCTGAAAGAGGCTCAAGTGCCGTCTGTTTTCTGCCTCGTTCCCTCTCTCCTTTCTGTGCACAATGGAGCCTTGTGTAAAGGAGATTGTGGGGCTGGTTATTAAGCAGGGCATCGGTCTTTCTGTCCATTACCTGAAAACTATTTCTAAAATAGAAGGAAGGCGCCATTTCCTTACCTCCTCCCCATCAGATGTATTCAGCTCAAAACCATTGAGAGAGAGTGAGACTGACTGTCCTCTTTCTCGTTAGTGAGATAGTGCATGTCCGCCGGTATTTAGCTGGTCTGACTCCACTGAAGGCCCCTGCTGGCGAGACCAGCTCGTACCTGTTAACTCTGCTCACATCAGCACGAGGAAGCCTGTACGAGGGCACGGAAGTGCCACTTTGTATAGGTCTGTGACTTTAAAGAGCTGTCGGCAGGGCCTGGCCTGCTCTTGTCCGTGGATTTCAGGGGGAAATGTATATACTTTTTCAGCTTCCAAGAATTGAAGTAGAACAGAGTAGCCTTTTCTGTTTTACTGTATTACTTGAACCAACAAATTCAAGAGTAGCATTTGTTATTCTCAGGAATGATCCCCTCATTTTCTTTCTTGGTGTGTTTGACTTTTTACTTCGATTAGGAGATTGTGTTATCTTTCTTTGCTTTTATATTACTTAAAGAAATAGAACATTGTATCTTTCCATTTCTGTGGAATTTTGTTGGCTTATTCTAGGCTGAATCAGAAAGAAAAGGAGAAAGATACACTGACAGGCCACATCCATGATTTATTATTGTAAAGAGATTATTATAATTGATAGCTTCTTTATGATGGGATTGCTGGTGCCGTTCGTTCTCGCTGGTCTTTTTAAAGAAACAGACTCAAACTGTTAAGAAGACAGCTGCAGTTTCTAAAGACCTACAGTGTTTGCCAGAGAAGAGCTAAAAGGTTTCATTGTTTTAAGACCTTTACGGAAGGAGGGGAAATAGAATAAAGGAGAGTGCGTATCCATGGGGCAGTACCAGAGCCTGTCTGGCAACCTGGAGAAAGCAAAAGACTGTCTCCCACTGCGGGATCGCGCCGCTGTTGGGTTTAGTAGGAACGGGAGAAGGAATCTTTCACCCAGATTCTCCGTCAGGGAGGCCTGCTGGCTGGCTCTTACCACTGCCTTACATATAGCTTCTTTTTCACCAGGAGTAAACATTTAATCCTTTGGGGCCTGGATTTAAATCTACCATTGTTTTTGTTACCCTGCTCAGTTCCACTATCTTGTCCAGGTTACCTTAGTTACTGCAGTGGCTTATGAAGTTGCCGCTAATTTGTAATATCTTTGGATGGTCATTTTTTCTTAAGCTTTTTTAGGTTTGAGATGTGATGTTAAACTAGAAACCCTAAACTGCTCTCACTGAAGGGAATGGAATGGCCGGGCCCTGAGGGAGTCCCACACTGGCTTCTTGGTGGTCCCGTCCCTCTTCTCTCCTCACTAAAGGGCCAGGGCAGAGGGGTACCTTGCTCAGTTCATCTAACTTGTCTGTTGTTACTTTCTTAAGACTTCATTAAATTACCATGGTCACATGGGTACACTTCCTACCCTTCTTAAAACAGAGCCTTACAAAGGGACCTTTTAAAGATGGACTGTCCTAATAAAATTCTGCCTCTTTTGACCATGCTAACATTCGATGAAGGCCAAGAGAACAGTACAGTGTGCTCCTTATCTGAGACCTCCTGGTGCCAATGAGTATAGACATTTTGATGTATTTCAGCAGAGTTTGTAATGTTAGGGTAGCCCTTAAGGTAGTTTTCTTTACAATCTCGGTCCTGTAAGCGGTAGGTAAGTGTGGTTACCGTCCACCTGCCTGTGGAATCTGTACAGTTCCCACACATTGTCATTTGGTGGGACAGCCCTGCCCCCACATTTCCTTATTCCTTCACAGGAAGAAAGGTCCGAGAACAGGAAGACCCCTTCAGGGTACCTAACTTCAGCTTAGTAGAGGTGACCACCTAGAAAGAGGTGAATGAGGAAGAAAAGCTCATAAATACTGAAGTGTGCAAACCCAGTGCTCTAGTTCCCAGATTTGATGGCAGGTTGCCTGCTGATCAGCAGTAGCTCTGCTGGAGCCAGGTATCCATATAAGTTTTTACCTCAAAGCGGGGGACTACATGAGCTCGCAAATAAGGTTGTTTTTTTCTCCGTTTGGCCTTTGTCTTTGTAAACTTCCCTCTCGGATCCCAATCTTCAGGCGCCAAGTGGAGACTGACTCTTGTTTCATCAGGAATCTCTAGTGACATCCTCTCCGTCTGTGAACTACAACCCTTCCATTTTCCTCCGGGCTCCAACACCAAGGCCTCATCTTGCGCTAACTTCTTTGCTGGAATTTGTTTTCAAAGCAGACGCCATAGGTAGGAGTGGCCTGTCTCCTCCCACAAACACTCCTTTCTTCCTCGCAGCCCTTTTTTTTGGACCAGCTACCTATTCTACTGACCAGCTACATTATTTCTGCCCGTAACAGTGGAAATAACCCTTTTTCCATAAATAATCTCCCACCCCTGTCCTAAAAATGTGAACTTCAAGAAGTCCTCACTCTCTTTGTTGTTAAGAAGGGTATGGTTAGAAGTAGCCTTCCCATCTAAGTCATGGCTTGCCTTTTTTTTTTTTTTACTTTTTTTGTTCAGAGAACCACCAGAGTATTTTTTCCCTAGTGAGTCTCAACAGATTCTTAGGCAATAACTTTCTTGTTGTTGATCTGTGCTCAGCAGCACTGTCCATTGAATGGTCCTGACCCTCTGCTGTGAGCTGATTTTCTGTATCACTCTCAGCCTGTGATTTAGATCTTATGTCAGAGTGGTGGTAGGTTTTGTCATTTTGTTTTCGTGATTATTAGTGATGTTTTACTACTGCATTCATCGGGTCTGCACTGAGACCAGCCAGATCCATTGATAGCTTTACTGAGCCGGCATTGTCAAGATTTCCCACTGGTGGTGTCTTTGTGGGGTGAGGGGTGCCATGGGAGTGGGACACAGGTGGGAATTAGCATGTGATACATTCCTTTTTGTGTGTTCTCTAAATAGCAAGGATGCTTACTCAGGATTTGGGGATCCGTTGTCAGCCATATTGAATCTGACAAGCTGAGCTGTGTGCCCTGGAAACCCTCTTACTGTTACTTAATTTCCATGTGTCTAATTTACATTACCTAGTCATACCTAAGTTACCCAGTTGAAACGCATTGTACCCTAATGAGAACAGAAAGTCTTCCTGGGAGGCAACTGTGAATGGCCTGGGAGGGCTTCCCTACCGCAGGCGCGGCCAGAGCAGAGGCCCTTTCTCTTCTGTACTGCGGCCTTCTTTAAAAGGGGCGATTTCTTTCCCGCTCTCAGGAGAACGACTGTACTGAGGTGGTGGGAAAGGCTTTTTAATACATCAAGCCTAAGTGTCCATTTGCCGAATACATAAATCCTCTCACAGCAGGTCATGTTCCGAAAGGCTGTTCTCGGTTCTGTTCACTTGTAAGCGAAGGTGACGAGCTACTGCTCAAGCGTCCTAGGGCCACGGGTTCCCTCGCTGACCTGAGGCGCAGCTTCGTTCGTGTCTGTGTCCATTCAAAAGCTAGGAGTTTATGGTTGAGAGTTTCGTCAGCGTAATTGTTTCTTGATGGGGATAAGAAATAGCAAAAAAGAAAGCTAACGAGCCGAGAAGCCCAGTTTGCTGCAACATTGCTTTTCTTCTCTGATCAAAAGGGGAAAAAACGGAGGAGGGAGATTTCAGTGCTCCCCAGGAGTTCACGTCCCTAATCGTCACCCAAGGAGCCTGAGCATGTAGATGTCTTGAGATTACAGATGAGCGTGTCCCTGGACTCTTTTTATACTTCATGTGACACCGGGGCCTTCATGTGAGCAGAACTAAATCTAGTCGGTCCCATTCAAGCGAGAGCTGACGGGCACTTTCACACCACTGACAATTGACCACATGTTTCTCACCATCGTCTCATTCGCTAGCTCCCTGAGAACACGGGGCAGGAAGCTTCTGCAGGGGCCTTTGCCTTTCTCCCCTGATTTCCCTTTTGACAAGTTTTCAGATCAGTTTGCCCCCTAGTATTGTCCCCTCCGTGGGTGTCCGAGTCCCTGCACCGCTGCATGGTGGGGCAGCCTAGTCACCACATTGCCGGGGCAGGGCATGCGCACTGCATGGCGCACCTTGTGCATCTCGGGATGCTAGCTGCATCTTCATTCTCTCTTTAAAATAAAAGTGGCTCTATGCAGCCATAATTCACTCTCAAATTCACATCGGTGTGCTGTGAGCAAACAAAGGTTTGCCTGCATCCTTCCAAATTGTAACCATGGTAATCGAGGGGTGGCACAGAATGAGTATATAAAAATACAATGACACTTGTTCTGAATGACTGAGTGTCCTCCTGACATGTAATTAGCTGTTTTAGTGAGATGTAGATTGGCATGGTCATAATTAAAAGGATTTCTGTTCTCTGTGATTGGACGTGGCAGCTCTCCCATTCCCTGTTCCCTTTTAGCACGAATGCTCCCGAGAACATTTGGAACAGCAGCTCAGTAAACTAAAATAATGACATGGTGTTTGTGTCCTCTCCTAAGTGAGAGAGAAGGATTTGGAAATAGTTCAGCTTCAAAATGGAAGCCTTTGATTATGATTCCCCATTTGACTTCTAAAGTGCTTGAAACCTGCCTCTCACATCCAGATCCAACCTGCTCCACATTTGGCAAAGTTACAGTCAGAATCCCAAACTGAGTCAGCCGCCAGCAAGACCTCCAGGTCCCTCTGTCCACTTGCCAGCCAGCCAGCGTCTGGTGTTGGCCTGACTCGAGGCCATTTACTGCCTAACCAGCCCCCTAGAATTTAAAATTTTTCCTTGGTTACTTGATATTTCCATTGCCATCACCGTCAGAAAGTATTTCTCAAATAGGCGTTCACATAGGAGTTAAATAGGGTTTTCCTCATTGGATCACATGACAAACACATAAATAACCTAAGCAAGGGCTCCCAGCCTTTATGTATGGGCTTTAGACAACTGTGAGGCATGAATGGAATCCTGATATTCTCAGTGTGTGAAAGTTACTCGAGCAAAAGGTCACGTGTGAGTTCCAAGTTTTCTCATGTTGCTCTTGTGCAGATTAACCACTCTGCTGCTGTGTCTGTGGGACTGTCAACATAACCCTTCCAAACCCATGTTCTCTCCTTCCCACTTTCTTCCTTTCTCTTCCTTCCGCTCTGTCCCACCCAGCATCGAGTGGTCTTGATGCATACAGTTCCCTACCTGATACTGCCCACTGTTCACACCCTGAAGCCTCACCCTGGATGGGAGCTGGCATATCACCATCTAGCCTTTCTTTAGAATTTGCTTCATTTGGCCTTTCCTGTCACCCTCATTAGTCTGTTCAGTTGTATGATTAAGAGCCAGTCTACACAAAAACCAGGACACAACATCATGCCCAGTGGCCCTCGACAAGCTGCTGCATCCTGGCTGTGCCTGGAGCCCTTGCTTCAGACCTGGGTGCCCAGGATTGGTTAGTACACTAAAGAAAGCACAGCTCTTGCTTTTGTTAATATTTTGCTGCCATCCTATGCGCATCTTTCCCCCTCTGCACATAGCAGAAGGAATCCTAACCCAGGTGCTAAACTTCAGTTTCATGAAAATGCTGAGGTCGGCCCCTCCCCAGCCCCCAAAAACACACAGCATTTGGAAAAAGTTTCTGCCTTTGGGGTTTTTAAATTTTTGTTCCCCTTGAAATACCTACAGTCAAATGTATAGCTGGGCTAGATCAGGAAAAATAATGCCATGCAAAGTTTTTGCTCCTTCCCTTCCTGTGAGACCTCTGTGTGCTCTCATCCCCACCCCACACACAGCACCTGTCCATCCTCTGCAGTGGGGAAGATCGTGACTTACAACCCCAGAGACTATCCCATCCCTTTTCTGATTTCCCGGCTGCTAAAAGACAACTGTCTCTATTAGAATTGAAAATCTATCTGAAGATTAGTGGTCCTGAGAACTGACTAGATGAATGTAACTGATTTCTGAGAGACCAGCATTCAAAAGTCAGCAGAACATACTGATTATCCGCTTACGTTCAGTGGAAATAGAATTATCACTGCAGTTAAGCCTAACATAATCTACTATTTTAGGGATCAAAGTATTAGATGTGCGGCTTCAGGGTTGGTGCTACTTAGAAAGAACTGAAGTTGGCAGGACAGGTCCCTCACAGATGGTTCCAGAGGCCGTGATTCAGAATACTATCAGCAGCCCCCACTAAGAAGAACGAAGACAAAAGCAGCCAACTCACCAAAATATGAAAATATAGGTAGCGATAACCCCTGAAATACGTATTTTTTGGCAAACCCTAAGAGTTATTTTTACAAGAAACTAGAGCAGAGATGCTTAATTGTAGATGAAAATACTGCATTCAGCCCTCCGGGGGCCCTCAAAACTCCTGACGATAGCAGCGGCATTTATTGAACATGTACCACGTGCCGCGCACTGTGCTGAATGCTTTTGCTCCCTCACTTCTTGAAGATTAACAGACCCTGCCCTGAGCTGTACCTTAGTGGAGTTAAGTAAAATCTCCAGGTGTTAGCTTCCATCTTAGTAGGGTGTTAATCGGGGAGTAGGCTGCCTGGAGTCTACCCGGCAGTTCTCTGAGTAAAGTCCCTGCATTTAACCTGTTTCCTTTTCTCATGGGGCAGTGCTAGACAATCCCTCCCACCCCCAGCACACTTGCTGTCATCCTGTGCATTTAACTCTCTCTGATGCCGGACTGTGTCACTTGATGATCTAGACACCGAGCATCTTTCCCCTGGGCGACAGGAGCATAGGGAGCTTCGCTGCTGTCCCGGCTCCAGCAGGCCTTGCCTTTTACTGGGAGGAAATGTTAACAGCTGTCTTACGGTCTGAGTTCCCAGGGGACTGGGATTTACTAGCTCTCCTTGGGTGTGGCTGCAGTCGGTTGAGGCAAAGGATATTAACATCTTTCGCACTTCCTGTTCTCTGTTTAGCTCTTCTAGCATTTTCTTAGTGCCTGGTACTTTTAGGCACCCTGCTTACTTAAAGATGTCTAGCCAAGCCATTCCAGCTCATTCTGTTGTCCCTTCCATCCCAGTCCCGAGGGGCGGTGGGGCCGGGCCGGTGCTTGTGGAGACTGGAGGCCCTGCAATTCCAGTGTCCTAGTGTCCGCCCTGCCTTAGGCTCGCTCTTGCTGTGGCTCCACATGAGCTTGAGTGGCCAGCAAGCCGCAGGTGCCTGTAGAAAGAGCCCAATTTTGGCTAAGCATAAAAACTCTCTAATGACCACATCCAGCAAAGGGGCAGGCTGCCTCAGGGTTCACATGGTGGCTCAGCGACTGTTTCCAGGGACACAGGGCTCCAAGCTGACCTGAAGACTTGCTAACTATAACTGATTATCTATTCCCCCCTCCCCCCTGAAAAGCCCACCCTGTTAACATGAGGGGAGGAAGGTATCCATGCTGCCATCTAGGTGTCAATCCAGATTAGACGTCTCTGGTGGCATTTGGGCGCCCACTGGAACTTTGGGATGGAGACACTAATCCTCCCTCTGAAGGAGCAGGTGACTCACCAACTGGGACGCACCCAGGGATGGGTCACAAAACCAGGCTTCCCTTTAGCTTCTTCAGCTTCCCATTACTTCCAGGTCAAGCTTCAGTCTCAGCCTCATTTTCTGGCTTCCTGTGTGCACAGCAACCCCACCTACTTTGCTTGCTTTACTGGAACCTAGAGTCCAGCATAAACTCGTGAGGGTCATCATTCATTGAAGCTATTAAACTGGAAACGGAACGACATTAGTGCTGTATTAATGTAAACAGCAGCCACTCTAGTGATACTACATTGAACTGTTTTCATGCCAGGTTCATGGCGGGGTGGGCAGCTCAGACAGCGGAGTGGATGGACGAGGGCTGAGCTCAGTGGTGGGCTCCTCTCAAGAGCAGTTATTGGTTATCTGCCTTGAAACCACAGCTCAGTCTGTTAGTGAACCCCGTTAATGACGCGTCTGAACACGGGCACCGCAAACCAAAACCAAAGTTCCTGGGCGGGCGGGGAGAGCTGCCCTCTACAGCGCCAGCGGCTCCTGCAAGGCCTCGTCATTGCTGCTGGTTTTTCAGAACACTCCTCAGAAGGCCACCTCTTGTCCTTGTCATCTTCCTCCCCCATAACAGAAAGCAAGTCTGTGCAGCCTGCACCTCACCCCCAGCCCTGCAACCCTGAGTCCAGAGCAGGCCCACCTGACACACACACACACCCCCATCTTTGCCCCGGCCTTGGTCCTGGGAGGCAGAACTCCAAGAGAAAGGCCTCTGCTGGGCCCAGTGGGTCCCCCCCGACTCAGCCAGGCTGCAAGGCGGACCCCGTCCCTGCCGGAAGATGCCAAGAACATCCTAGTTGCCTCCCCAGGAAGAGCCCACAGCCTTCTCTGACTCCCCACGGGCTCCCCATGGCTGCTGGTATGCAGTACCTTCCAAGCATAAATTTCTATTTATGATTTCTAAGTGCCTAAGCAAGTCACAGACCTTTGGAACCTGCCAGAGCCCCAGTGCCCTGCCCCCCTCCCTTCCCACCCTGCACTTAGCCCTCAGGGGAGGGCATGGGGGCCGCCCACCCAGGGTCTGCAGCGTTCTGCAGGCAGAACAACTGCAAGGGCAAGCGCGGGGCCAGTCACGACCCCACCAGGCTGGCTTCGTCACCCCTGTGCTGCCTTTTCACGGGTGTTTCTGTTGATGGGATTATGGTCTTGGTTCAGAGAGAATGCGAAGGGGTCTGCTTAGCGAGGTCTGTAGCTACTGAGCGAAGGTAGGGGAGCGAGGGGGCCTCGGAGCAGCACCTGCCTGTCAGCAGCTGCCGAGCGCGTCCGGAGCCCGGAGGGCAGCGTCAAGTGATGATAGTTACAGGCATGAGGATTCGTTGGCCACCGTTAGTCACTGGGACCCTGGCACCTCCGCATCCTCTCCTGGGCTTGAGGTGCAGAGTATCGCGCAGAGGGCGCGGGAGGGCCTGCATCGGGAGGCGTGCGCTGGACCAAAAGTGCGTCTTTGATAATGGGTGTGAGGTTCTCCTTTGCTTCTCTTACAGTGGTTTGGTCCGACCTAACTCGGGCCTTGATTCCGTGGTGGGCGCCGGCTGTTCACAGGTCGGCATTAGCGACGCTCACATGGTTGGTTGGTGCATTAGAAGGTTTTGCAAAATGGAACAATCCATAGCCAGGCACTTTATTTTCATTAATAATCCAGCATTTTTGTTCAGTGTAATAACCCAAACGCTGGGCTTCACCCTTAACACGGTGGGGGGGGCACCTTTGCCGGGGTATCCTTCCGCCTTGGGTGGAGGAGGGAGCAGGTTGATGGAAGTGATGAGACGGGGTATTACCGCGGTGACGGAGTGAGCCCTCTGGAGCGTCACTAGCCTGGACGCCGCAGTCACTGTCGCTCAGTTCTCCAGATGCTATTTTTACAGGTTCTACCAAGTGCTTGTCAATTACCCAGGTTGTAATTGAAAGAGAGATGAATGTAGGGAGAGTGCAGCGAGCTGGGAAACAACAGTGCAATGCAATTAGAGGCAGGAAGAGAGGCCCGGTTTCTTTTCACTTAACTGGACTTGAACTCTCGGGCGAGCGGGGTGCTGGGGAGTAATTCCATTGCGGAGTGATTTGCAGCTTCGTCTTACAGTCATTGCAGGGGTGGGAGCCAGCTGGCACAGCAAGTGAGAGGGCGGAGAGCGAGCTTGGCCGGCGCAGTTTGATCAGACACCATGGACCAGATGCCTTGGGCTGCCTGGGGGGTCTTTAGCATCCACCAAATACTCGCGTGTCTGCACGGGCTGTCCTGTGCCCTCCTGCCGGGGCTGTCCTGCGTCTTAGTGTGTGTTTCCCCGAGTCCCCAGTCTCTGTCCCCACTTGTGCACCATGTGTCCCCGAGGGGAGTCGCACCTGTGTCTGAGTCTGCTGTAAGGTGTTCAGTCTACCTCACGGGGTCACCATGGTCAGCTCTGTCCCATAGCAGCCCTTCCGACATGGCCACACACTGGAATGTATATGTGCCCCGGCCCTGCCTTCCCCGTTGGTAACCTCCTGACCCCACCTTTCCTATAATCACCACAAACTCCTAGTGCAAATTGGATGCTGCTTTAAATGTGAAAACAATTGTTCAAAAGCTATAAAACCTGAATGAAAGCTAAAGCTGAATTTATAAGCCTTGTTGCATATGAGCCAAAAGTGCAAAAAGCTCTATATAATGAACTAACCTGCCACTCGTATAAATATAAATATATATAAATATATTAAAATCAGACTGTTCTACAAAATTGTGTATTTGTATTTTTGTGTACGTACAATTTTCTGCTAAGCAGAAGGGGGATGTAGTATAGGACGCTGTGAGAAGAGATTTGGTTTAATCCTATTTCTTTACTTATTTTTGTTAACATCAGATGCCTGTCTTCGTCTTATATGTGTATGACACTGTTTGGAAAGCTGCAGTATCTCTCTTCCTTAGGTCCAGAGTCCATTAGAGAATGAAATCTGGGGTTTAGAGTTGCCCAGGCCACCAAACTTGGGTAAGTTGACTGAGCGTGGCCCTGTCCTGCCCAGGAGCCTCCCATGGACGTGAGGTGGGCAGGGCCTCCGGGAAACAAAATTCCACTTCTAGAGATCAGCTTTGAAAAAGAGATTGTCAGATCGGTTTACCACAGTCTCTCCCGGTTCACCAGGAGGGGAGGAGGGGACGCAGGACCTCTTATCTCTGGGCCAGAAGTTGGCCCAGAAAGCAGCAGGGGGCTCTGCCTGGCAGTGGTGCCAGCTCACTGGCTGTCCCTAGGTCCCTGTCCCTCTGAGTAGTTGCTGCCTTTTTCAGATCAAGTTACCAAAATGCCTCCCCTCTGCTGAGCTGCTGGCAATTCACCACCCAGACCTCCAGCCCAGCTCCCTGAGCATCTCAGAACCCACTTTCCCGGTGCTAACACACAAGACGGGGGTAAAGTGGCTGCCAGTCAGGGTCAGAACCCCCTCGGGGAGGCCAGGCTGCAAGACAAGCTCCACGTGCCCAGGGCTGTCAGCCCTTCCACAGGAAGGGGTCCAGCAGCCCTGGGCCTGGTCCCCGATCCCGCTGCCCACACCTCAGCCACACCGTGGTCCCGCTTGACATGAACCTTCTCTAGGGAGAGCGATACTGCACCTTCACCTGTGGGACTCATATTTATAACAGTGTGTAATGACTGTAGCAAAAGCCCTTGTTTCTAGATGTAATGGTCAAAGAAACAAGTGCTCTATTGTATTGATTAAATTAGTTCAATGAGTCCTGTATCATTGTATCTCCTATTCTGGATTAGTGCCTTTTGGACAGTAGACTGTTCTGTAATTAAAATGTAGTATATACTGCTTTTTTGTACAGTTTTGTTTTAATAAAACTTTTTTTTAATTTGTGTTTATTTTAGTATTGTACCTATTAGAGAATAAAATGTATAACTGAACAGAGACTGGCTGGGATTTCTTTGGGGAAGGAGCATCTGGGAGCTGCTGGCACCAGCAAGGGTGGGAGTGTTCAGTTTTGAACATCAGTCCCTTGTGCTTTGAACAAGGATTCATGCCACCAGAAACCTAAGGACAAGTGAAAGGGTTAAGGTGACAAACACTACCTGGAGCTCAGGAAGGTCCCTGAATGCATCCACCTCTGACTCAGTGCTCCATTTCCTGTCTGCCCCACCCCAGCTCCCCCACCCAGAGCCCAGCTCCCTCACCAGCCTTCCCGGCTTTCCTGCTTCCCACCATCTTCCCCGGGTCCTAGCAGTGTCTCTCTCTTTTACTGCATTGTGCTGAGCAGTGACAGCGCTTCTCTCCCACGCCCACCCGGACTGAGCACCTGCTCTTGGCCGTCTTTCCTGGGGCTTCCCCTCTAAAGCCAGAGCTTTGCTATTTGCGTTCATTTAAAGGTGCCCAATGGTTGGGACCAAGTTTTTAAGCAGGACTCAAGGACAAAGCATCCACTCTCCTCCCTTCCAACAGACGATCGATCTACTTTCCCCTCTCAGAGAAAACCTGAAGTAAACGGTCTGTTTCCTTAT